CCCGGGGCCTCTCCTTTTTCCCTTGGCGGTGCAAGACCTCGGCTCACGTTTTAAATCTTTTACCGAGGCAGGGGTTAGAGCTGTAAGAGACACACCCGATACCAAGAGGCTTGAAAAAAATTTAATGAGCTAGTAACACTGAACAACGAGGGCTAATCTAAAAACTGTTCCCACATCCTACTTAAAATATTTACAATTTCGTTAACTGTATATACATTGTAATCTTTGTCTCTTACAGTCTATTTATAGATGAGTTCCTTAGGAATTATACCTGTTATATCTGGAAGATGAAGAGCACAGCAGAGTATTGGAGTAGCCATTGCTGGGAATCACTACGCGCACTGCAGGCGTTGGTAGCAGCCGCTGGGCACTGGTAATCAAAGGCTGAGGCCACGCGTAAGCAACTCAACGCACGATGCAAACAGCACGTTCAGCTAGGAAACTCCTCTGCTGCCTTTGAAATGTTTCCATGTGCAAGGCAGCAGGGTAAATATACTGCACTGTGCAATTCACCCCATTTGAGGAAAAAACCCTGTCCCCCTCTGTGCGACAGCACAGGGAGTCTGCAATCATAGAGACGTTGACTTACATTGATCCGCACCTCCAAACATCCCATTCACCCCAAATTCCGCTGCTCCATTGAAGGTCAACAAACCCACGTAAAGCAGCTATCCCCTGTGAAGAGCAATTCACCAAATTAAAGCCTAATTTATGACATCCTGAAATTACGCAACAGAAGAGCACCTCCTGGAAAAGTTTCATGGTTCAGGTAAGGGAGACAAAGCAATACATGAAATAAAACTGGATTCATAGCTCTTAGTTTTAAGCCCAGTTAGAATGAGATCCTTTTCAGGCATTCCTTTACTGGGGATACCTTTACTTCTTTTCTGAAGCAAAGCTTCTAATCTGTATCAAAGTGAACCAGTTCTACCTTTCACTGGTATTTTATGTACTTTCTGAATTCCCTTCTGCTACTTTATTTCCCCTTTCTGAAAAGAAACCCAAGAAGTACTCTGAAAAGCATTTCTGCCAAAAAAATTGCAGAGTCAGCCACCAAGCTTAAAACAATTTAAGTACACTGGGTAGGAGAGTCACAGACAGGCAAACAGATAAACCTGAGAATGCAAGTGAAAAATTACTGGGCAAGTACTTAGTGTCAGACCAATCCAATAGTTAACTCAATGGTTTTACAGGGTGAATAGCGGAAAAGCTAATTAAATTAATGTGATTTACTAGAAAATACTAAGCTTACAGATGATACAGTGTCCGCATAATTTTAGAAAAATCATTGATTTCATGGTTTATTTTACAATAACTGGATTAGTCTACAAGTTAAGGCAAACATACTAATGCATTTGCTTTTCTTTTTAAATCATAGTTATAAAGGTTACACAAAATTCTCCAAAATTTCTAAGAAATGTTCACAATTGAAAAAAAGATTAAATTTGTTGATATCAGTACATGGAAAAAAACTAAGACAGTGTATACAATGCCATTATAGTAACAATATTCAAATATCTAATGGTAATAGTTAGGCCATTTGAACCTCGTGCTTCAAATGGTGAACCTCAGAAATTACTTACAAAGGTAAATAAGATTGGCAGCCGTATCGTAGTATTCATAACATGAACATAATTATATTGGCTATTTTCACAAAAACAGAGCATTTGGTTTCTGAACAATGAAAGCATATAATGATTAAATAAACATGAGTATGTATGTATAACAAGTATGCTGTTGCTTCGTATAGTACTTTCAGGTGTTTGTTTTAATTCTTTTGAAAGAAGGAGCTTGCTTATGTGCACTTTGTCAAATGTTTTCTCCAGGGAACTGCAAATGCCTATTTAAAGTCATGAAAACAAAATCCAGAGGAGGGCAGCCCTTGTCAGTGGGAGGACGGAGCGTAGCTTATGTGTCACCATTTAACACTGCCAGGCAGCTCTGCAGCAGCTGTAAGTTACCCTGTAAAAATAAAGAAAAATATGACCGCATTTCCCTACTTGCATTTACACTGGTAGCAAAAAGATGTTTTTTACATAGCAATGACACCACTAAAGGAGAACAGACTTAAGCTTATGCAGAAGTATTTACGAAAGTTAACTTTTAAAGAGCTTTTTGAATATAGAAGCATTGTGTAATGGAAGGAGGAGCCAACTTCAGATTCAAAAATAAACATTCAGTACCCTTTCCATGTTTCTTCACAAGTTTCTCACTAAAGATCTAGTCTGGCCACAAAAACTACTTGCTGCAGACCACTGAAGTTTAAAGCTACAAAGTTTTAGTTTTTTATAAGTATTGCCATTACTCTGTCACTAGAATGTTATTCCCAAAGCAGAAGTATTCATGTATTACACTGAACTGACCAGGAAATCTTAACCATTCACAGCACTCGGTATCTCCTCTCTATAGCAGCCAGCTCTGTGCAAGGACAGGCCTTGTTTGACAGACAGCACTGATTTACATGCTCAGCCAGGGGACTCAGCCATCAAAGCTGAGCTCAGCCATTAGAGCCAGAGCTGCAGCAGTGAATTATCAGAACAAACATGAACTGAGCTTCATCTCCAGGGCCAAGTCCTGCCCTTCTTTTCAAGCACCAGTAGGTCAGTTCTGAACCTTATTCAAAGCATTCTGACTCTACCATAAAAACATAAAGGTTGGCTCTCAGATTTTGGAGTTTACAGAACCGACACTTTAAAACATACCCTTGTGATTTAAGCAAATGTGACCAACAAATAAGCCAGGACTCACTTTCCAGAAAAACCCCCACCCAACGTGGTATTCACAGTGATCACAGTGATTGTTTTGTGCATTCATTTATGCTTGGTTCACTTTTAGTTTAATTCACTATGAAACAGCTGTACTAGATTTGCTCCCCAATCTGAAATCTGTGTCACAAACAATGTTGGGTTGTTGACAGCGTTGAGTTTAATTCCTATCAGGGTCAGATAAAACAAGAACAACACAGCCTGAATGCCCAGCTACAAACACAGGAGAAACTGCTTCCTCCTAAAAATTTTGGATCCAGAAAGAAACATGTAAAGAAAAGTTCAAACAGACAAAAGCATGTAACCAGACAGTCCCAGTAGCTCTGATCTGCATGTCCTTGACAAACAGTCCACCCGAGTACTAAAGAATTTGTAACTCTTACTTTTTCAGTGGAAAGCAGTCCAAGTGACCTGTGGTAGACAGGCAGACGGACACTTGTCCTTCAGCCCAAAGAGGTAAGAAATCGTAATTCTGTCCCCCGTTAAGGTTTTTACAATCCAGATTAAACAATTAACCAAATTAAAGGCTTCAAAGCTGAAGATTCCCGGTTGTGCCTACTGAATCGTTGTCAGTCTTCTTCAGAAGACAGCGATTTCAGTTATGGCTTTTCAATAGCTTTTTGTCCTTTTCTGCCTTTACTGGCAGAGGACAGTCACAAGGTATTTAGGAGGCTTGTGGTTCTGTGATATGAACAAGTTTAATATACATGGATTCGTGGGGACTTGGCCCATTTTTGTAGTGTATTAGATTCATAAATCAAAGGTTTCTGTTATGATTATTAGCTGTAATAAAGTCATGAATGAAAAGGAATACTTCACTCCGAAGTATAATCATGGACTGCATGCAAGTTGCCTGTAACAAAAGCGTGACAGTGATCTTCTGGCCATCTCCTTACAGCTCATCAGCAGCATCAAGTGTATTTGCCATTCACAGGTCACTACGTAATGCTGCACTTCAGTGATTTCCAGACTCAGCCAGCCAGTCTACCCAAATTTGCCAAGTAGGCAAATAATTCATTTTCATTAAATCAAATTTACGGAGTTCACAAGAACAATCTTAATGAAATTATTATAAAGGACAATAGAGGCTGTAAGCCATTACTCTTTCTGGCCGCAACATCTGACATACTTGACTTATATCAGCATAGCTCCAGAAAGTCCTATAAATTCAGATTCAGAAAGTGTTTCTTGGCAACTCCAACTCCTAAGCTCTACATACTACAGTTATTGGCAGCACCATGGTGACAGAAACATCCCTTTCAGGAAAGAAAGAATTACTGACAAAGCATTTATAACCAAATCCCTTAGCACTGGATTTTGCTTGCTCCCTTCTTCTGGCAGTTCCAAACAGGCATCTGTTGCTAGTGAGGCAACAAATTCTCTTTCTATAAAACCCATAGAGGTGCATGTATTAATACAGATAGTAGTGTAGAATTTTTTTTTTTATTTTAAGGAACATTTCTCAGTTACAATTCATATGTCAAGAGACTCTAAAAGTATAGCCAAAGCTATAAATGCTTTAAGTGTATGACTGTAACCTTAGCAGTCTCACCAGCTATCCAACCTCCCTTCTTGAACATGAAGTCCAACACAGGAATACCTCCAAATCCAACTGTTTAAAATACTGAATAGGTTTAAATACAGCTTTTGCCCTGAATGCCTAAACACTTAATCGAGTCTTATATCAACTACAGCTGCATGGAGTCATGAAGAAACAGAGCTAGAAAAACAGAAACTACGCACTACCCAGAGGGACAGTCAGACAGAACGGCCACAGGAAAAGAAACATCAATCTGTTTAGCACAGTCAGAGACCAAGCAGAATCAAAGGCTGCAGCGTGGCAGCTATTTTAAATAAATCTAGGGTACATGCTGGTGATAAGAAGGCAGCTCACTCTTATTCCCAGCCCCTCTCAGCCAAAACTGTGTGGGATGCTGTGAAAACAACACTGAAAGTAAAGCTTAGAAAAACCCAAGCAACTTCTAGCTCCATCTTACTACACAGCTGCAGATAAGATAGTGCCAACATAAGGGAGAGGAACAGAGTCAGTCATCATCCTTCTTCCTGGCACCAGTCTGTACTTGCATCAACTTAAAGCAACCTCAACCCACTGTCTGATTTTTAACTTTTTCAAAAGTCTTCAGCTGCAACCAGGACAAGATAAGAGAATATTACCAGATTAAAACAAATATTTTATTAGAAAGCAGTTACAAACATAACTGGGCACAGAGGGTGTGCTTAGTATTTGTATATACAGTGTCCTTGATGAACTAAAAGCTTGATTTCCCTATCCCCCTCCAGTCTCCTGTAGCCACACAGCCAGATACAGCTCAGGACACGTGAGCTGTCTCTCAGAACCTTCTCTCAATAATTTGGTGGTTCTGGCCTCTTAGTGCAGCCATCTCTGTGCTTTGCCATTTGTGTTTTTCCTTCCACGCAGAGCAAATAATTTTCAGCAGTGAGCCATGCAGCAGCTTTCACTGTGACTGAACCCCTCCCAAAGACAGCCTCTCAGGTGAGCGCCAGCACCCACTGCTGCATCACATTTCACCTCTTCATTTCTGTGCCAGGTAACTCCAGGTCCAGAAGCCACACAGCAACTCAGATTCAGAGACAAAGGCATCTGCATGACCTCTAGTCTGGAGGTACTCACTGCAGAAAAAACCCAACCAAACAAAAACCCCCACAACAGAAGAGTTACAGCAGAAGCCTGCAGCAGAGTCATCTGTTGCTACCAGCCCCCGCTCCCCAGTTAGTTTTTTTTTCTGGAAAGAGCACTTAGACCTGAACAACAGGTCATGTTGCAAAGTTTGGGAGTGTTGTGCTCTACATGGGGTTGCTAAAACTTCACCTGCCCCCAGTAGCTGCAAAAGCATGAAGACAGGCCCTGCCACAGCATCAGGCAAAGTATTTAGTCCAAAATCTTAAAGCCAGAGGGGCTTTAATCTGACTTCATTAACGTACTGCCTACACAAAAAAGCAGCTTTCTTTTTGCTTCTACCATCCCTCTGGCTCTACTGCAAGAGGAAGTAGGCGTCTACAAACACCCCAGCTCATCCTAGCCAAAACCAGGGCCACTTAGCCTCCCTGCATTGCTCATGATTTGCATTGCAACAAGTACAAAAACATCCTCTCCAAGATAAGAAGAAACCTTCATATTCCCCTAACACTGCTCTTCACACATCAGGGCACAATGCTATCTCAAAAAAACACCAGGTCTTTTCATACCTTCTTTCTTCCTTTATGGAACTACCTCAGAAAGTCTCTGCTAAACCATTTCATACTTCAAGACTCTGTACAGTTTAATAAAAACATATGCATAAGACTATACTCAAATACACGGTTATAGCATGAATAAGAAAATTTCCCATTATACAAAGTAGAAAAGTATGATCTATTGCACTTGTAAATTCTGTAATAATCCAACTCAGAATCTGTAGAAATAAAAGCACAGCAACCAAACTGATCCATCTGTAATAACTTGTTTTGAATAAATATGAAACACAGGCTCTGAAAAAGCAGAACTTTCAAACCTAGTGAGAAAGAAAATATCCTTTCATTCAAGTCACAACATTCGTTAGCATTTCAAGAACTGTCACCCTTAGTCAAAATGAGCTAGTACATTGTAAAGCTAAATATTCAAAATTGTTTAGTGAATCTTGGAGCACACTATGATGAAGTAGTTGAAATGGGTTGGTTCACCTTCAAAAACTGGACTACAAAACTTCTATTACAGCCTTATATACTCCTTGTTAGTAAATTTACTAAGGCAAGGTAAGTCACAGACTTGAGACAGACTATCTGAAGAACTAAGTCTTAAACATAAGCTGTGGTGACAAAGGAAAAACTGCTAAAAAATTCAAGCTCTTCCAGGAAAACTGAGGACACCAAGAAGTACCTATCAAGTAAGTTGAAAGCTACAGAAATTAAGCATTTTCCTACTGCCTTCTGCAGTTATTAGCTGTCGAAATTCAAGAAAATATTACTGCAAGACTTGCACAGAGTTAATACAAGCGACCCTTGAAGGATACTTGAGAAGACAGAAACATTTTTTAAGCATTCCACTCCAAGGTATGTGGGGATTTCAGCAAGGGTCAGTTACAAGAGATGATGATGAGTCAATGACTGAAGCAGGACAGAAGTGCTGTGGATTCATTCCCTTATTAAAGCCTGATGTGGCAAACCAATAAAACACTGCTGTCACTGACTGCCGCACTGTTAGGACTGTTAATTTCACTAAAACTCTACTTTCTGATATAGCACATTTAAAGTAAGCACTGTTCATCTGAAAAAGGAGTCAAGTATTCCAGACCTTACTGATAGCTTTACCAGCTAAATATCCCATCAGGCTGAACTACAAAGATGTAAAAAAAACTTCTTCTCAGTGAGGGTGACAGAGCACTGAACAGGCTGCCCAGAGAGGTTGTGGAGTCTCCTTCTCTGGAGACATTCAAAACCCGCCTGGACACCTTCCTGTGTAACCCCATCTAGGTGTTCCTGCTCCGGCAGAGGGACTGGACTGGATGATCTTTTGAGGTCCCTTCCAATCCCTAACGTTCTGTGATTCTGTGAAAAACAAAAGTCCCCAAAACAACCTTTTCTACAGTGCATTAGTTTTACACTATGGGTTTGGCAGAGCGAAGAATGACAGCATCAACACTACTGACAAGAGGGTAAAGTGGCAAAGAGTTAACTCAGCAACGTGATGCACCTCTTAACTAGTCCTTTCAACAGCTGTATTCTGAGTGAACTCAAAGCCTGGTAGTCAATGCACTTTCAGATTGGTGATGAGAATGAGAAATGATCGAGTTGACTTTTAAAAGAACACCACCTCCTGCTACAGTACTGTTAAATTAAGAGACTATTGTACTTATCCATGAAGTCAGAGCAGCTAACCTGCTTTAACCAAAACCATTGATTTCATTTGGATTAAAAGAATAAAATACACTGTGAAATTTCAGGACAGTACAGGCCCTTTGCAGGTTCTTTTCCTGCAAAAAATTTTACTGAGAAGGCCACCTGCAACAGTCTTCTTTTGCTAGCACTTTATAGGCAAAAAGGTTCAAAAACCATACGCAGATTAACACTGATGTGACTTCAGACAGGTCTGTGTGATCTCATGTTCAATAGTTAGCCTGCCCTAGACATCAAGTCCCCAACATCTGGATAACAGGAGAAACCATTTCCTATCTCGCAGTAAAATGGTGAGATGAGGTTTTAAAAATAGGCAGGTATTCAAATTCTGTAGCTATAAATACAAAACCACTAGAGAAACATAACTGAAGCCAAAATTGTTTTCTAGGAGACGAGTTTCCCAAGGCACCTCAAGCACACTAGTCCCTCAGAGATTTCACCTCTACTTTCTTTCCCCTCACCTTTCTGGATGATGTTTACCTTCAAATTCCCCTTTCTAAACGTGAAGTGAATATCACACAACAAATGTGGCAATTTCAGTTATTCAAGCATATAATATTTAAAATCAGTTGAAATATGGGCCAAAAAGGATCACAATTACCTTAGCATGCTTTAATTCCAGTTCTGCTAGTTCCACCAGATTTTTTCTGAATGCTGCAACTCTTCTTGTCTTAAAGTCTATCAGTTCTATAGGAAATAAAAATGGATTCATTAACACTATTATTGGTAGTGCCCTCAACTATTAAAAGACTTTCCTTCATGATGGAAGAGGTCAAGGGTGAGAGAAGGCAACAGGAACAAACTCAAGGTTAATTTCAGCACATTCCCACCTCAAAGATGCTGCTACACTGCTGGATGAAAGCAAACCGTAACTGCAGTTCGTTATCTCTAGCTAACCTTTTGTGGACACAAAGCTCTTGAAAAAGACAAAACAAAACAAAAAACCCAAACAAAAAAATCCCCCACCAAAATCCCAGCCAAACAAAACCATATGGCTGCTTTTAAACATTTAATTATCTTAATAAACATGCACTGTTCTTTCGAGGCTGATACATGGAAGTCTTTAGGGAAGACACCAAGCTAAAACTAGCATCAGGAACAGGGGAAGCAAGTATGCTTTATGCATGTACCTTTGTGGCTGATAGGATCACTCATTCTCCACTGTCTCATTTATAGGAATCATTAGCCACATTTACAGGGTCAAAACTCTTAAAATTATACAAACAGAAAAGTGTGGTGTTTAAACCTTGATCATATCTGCCCCAAATAACGAGTCAGATGACTATTAACTCCCAACAATCTTAGGCTAAAAAAAAGGAGTAAGTTTCCAGGAAAAAGGCAGCATGTAAATAAGGCTCCTTTTCTCTAGAGCTACTGCAACTCTGCAACTGCAGTGGAATCTTATTTCATGATCTCTCCCTTTTCTAAGAGAGTATCATCTCTGGACAGACTGCTGCCTTCACAAAAGAATGCATAAAACCAAAAGGGAAAGTTCAACAGTACTCTGGAAGATTACGTTTGCCTTTACTACTAACAATTGTAATTTTGTATCCTCTCCTATGAATATTAAAAAAGTGGTTAACAAATAATTTGGACCTAGACTTTGCTCTGTCTAATGGAGCTATGAGGACCCGAAGGAAAATACAATTTAAACTTTCTAAAATAAGTAAACACTGATTAAAAGACAATAGTTCTGCTCAGGAAACAACAAAAGTCTGTTCTCATTAACAATATCCTAAAATCTCTTCATTTTCAAGTAGTAACATAGGATCAAAGCCCATCCAAATACCTTGTTTTGCTGATTCAGAAATTTTCTCAAATTTTTGACAGCATATTTGCTGAGTAGTTTCAGCTTGCAGTACATCTTTATTTTTTGCTCTTGCTTTATCCAATGCCTTATTAGCATTTTCATAATCCACTAGTGACCTAGATCGTCTATATAGGAGATCCTATTAAAAAAAGGCATAAAAGATGTATAGAATTTACAAGAATGTATCCAAAGATTTTAGTACATACCAAGCAATTAAAAACAAATCAATTTTAGTCTTTCTTGCTATATTTAAGTTCTTACTAAATTATTTGCATTCACTTTACTTCATCCTACAAGTCACAGGACGG